ATAATGAGATAGTAACTCAAAACACTGAGATAGTATCTCATTATTTTGAGTTACTACCTCATTATAATGAGATAATTTATTTGAAATTCTTTTTTTTTTATGGAGTGGCAGAAACGGGCCTCCATAGGGGACAGATGCAACAGTGGTCTGCAGGGGTCTAAAATAAAAAAGATATTTTTTTTAAGCATCATAGAACTAGAAGTACATAGAAGTATAGCCAGTGGCGGTTCTAGACCATATTGGGCCAATATGCTTTTATGGGGCACAGAACAGTAGAAAACATAAACAGAGCAGTAATTAATAAAAAAATATATACATTTTTTTTAAGCAACATAGAACTAGAAGTAGACAGACGCAGTTTAGTAAGGGTAATCTGTAATTAGCCTTTGTTCGTAGGGCGGGTCCTAATTTCAGCGTGCAAAGGCTGGCCCCCCTTAAATCATACCGGCCCCAACACTTACTCTCTGGCCGAAGCACCTACCTGTGACAGTAAATAACTCAAAGGAGCTCAAGAAGTAATACAATGTTATCTACCTAAACGATGCATGCAGTATTTATAGCCCATCCTTGTCACACGCATCCTTGTGACGGTTGGCATGTGGTGTAATTTTCTGTTTCTTCAAACTGTAAAATTCTTGCAACAAACTAAATAATTATACAACTAAAATGCTTTCTTTAAACCAAACTACGATTTTCCTCTTATATTTGGCGAATTTATGTTCGAATATTTTGCAAAAAATATGTTGCGGTGCATGATGGGGTTTTGCATCTGGTTACATTATTTCATTTCATTGTCCACATGCCACCTAGACTGGCAGTGAATGCTTAAACATCGATGAGCTTTCTGCAACTGTGGGTTAGTCCATAAATGGACCGATGTAAAAGAAAAAATGCCAAGGCCGAAACTTATTCCCAATCTGAGCCTGGATAGAAGTATAGCCAGTGGCGGTTCTAGATCATACTGGGCCAGCATGTTTTCATGGGGCCACAAAAAAGTATAAAACATAAACACTGCAGTAATTTATCATCTGAAATAAGAGATCCGTAAAACCAAAAAGGCACATTTGGCTCTGCACTGAATGTCACTGAATTAAAACTTGTATTTACTTAAAATTAAAACAATCCCTTAACATTAAAAAGCAACAGAAATAAATAGTTGCTAAATAAATATCACCTAAAATAAAAGACAGCCATTCTGTGTGATTTAGGTAAATGTACATCACTAATTCAGGGATATTGGTTATTTTGACCTATTTTAAATGAAAATGATCAGTTTTAATCAAATCAGAATTAGATATGAGGTAAAACTTATCAATTCAGATGTATATCTTTTATTTGGTACAAATTAGCCTTTAGCAGATGAAAACTGTGATCCCATTTCAAAATGAATGAAGTATAAATATTGCTAATGTAATGTGAAATGCTGCTAGATATTAAAGGAAGAGTGAAAAAATGTGAGTTTAAAACCGTGCACCACACAGTAACAACTGGAAGTTACACTTGTACTTTTCAGTTTTCTCTTTTTCCTGAAATCAATTTAATCTATCCACATTGAAAGGTTTTCACAATTAGCATATTTAATTCAGCTTAAGAATACAAAATGATGGTTGGACATTCTCCTATAAAACAAAGTTGCTTGGCATTTTAAAATCTGTTATATTTTGGAGCCACTGAGAGGAAGACTTGCTGTGCATACTTTAAGTCATTATCATTCTGCACATCTTAATAGTGGTTAAGTATAAAGTTCTTGATCTGATGATGGGATATTCTCCTAAAGGATTTTCTGTTGGAAAGTAGAACTTGTGATTCTATTAATCACTGTAAGTAATTCAGGTGCTGAAGTGGAAAAGGAGCACCACACATCACACCATCACCAGAACGTTTGATTGCCTTTATGCAGGTCTTTTTTCTAAAATGCTCTATTACTTTTGGACTAGAAATAACGGGATACTCTCTTTTTGACGTTTTCATTTTTGCCATATCAAGCAACAGATAATTTTTCCAAAAACTCTCATGCATCATTAAGTATTTTTTTAATGAAATTTTAAACTACAGTTTAAAGCTAGAAAGGGCATTGTATATATAGACATATTGTTCACCAGTCCCTGAACCCAGCACCTTAACCTGGCAGAAGAGTTTCAGCCCTAAATGCCCCTGGTAGGGTCTTCCAAGGCAAACAGGCTTTTATGATGTGTCAGAAAGTTACCAGAAATTCAACATAATCGACTTCGCTCAGTATGGCAGAGCTAGGACTTCACCCTGGAGCCAGGCCTGTGGGTTGGGTTTGTCTTTGAGGGACTTGTTGTCTTTCCTTTGCCCCAGCTGGGCAAAGCCCAAGGAAATTATGTGAAGCTATCCCACAGTGGCTCCACCACCTGCTGGGGAACCATGAGGGACGGTGCCAAGACTAATGGGTCAAATGCAAAGGTGACCTGATGTACAGATTCTTGAACTGGCTCTTGGGATTAAGAATCTTACTTTGCTGGTGTGATAAAGTCTGAGCTTGTGTGAGGGGTGAAGTGATACTGGCTAGAAAAAGTCAGGCTAACCTCCACACATAACCAGATACCTGGAACCCATCTTTGAGAGAGGCTGGACTCTTCTACTCTGGAGTGGCCCTGAAGAAGCAGAGGGCCGAGGTTGGGTCTGATTGTCTTCAGCAACCTAGCTGTCTCATGTTGGAGTTCAACCAAGAGTATGAGAAGGTCGCATCCCTGCACCTTTGCTTAGGGGGAGTTTTCTTGTCTTGATCAATGGTCCAAGTGGTGGTTCAGAATACTAAACTCACCTTCCGAGGATTCCATCATTTTGCTGAGGGGCCCAAATAACAGTGTGCTAAATGACTGGGACACCAAAATGAGTGTGATGAGGGGGAATGGACACTGTACCCTGAACCTGAGAGCTGTTTCATTACTGGACTTATGTGAAAGTCGTGAATTGTCCAAAATGATTACCATGTTCATGAATAAGGATGCACAGTGTACTTCTTCCATCAGGACACCTTAGGTCAGACGACATTGATTAATTTTGAGCTTTTATCATTCATCCTTTGGCCACACTAGGGTGAGGAGGAGATGTAGCTAACCAACAATCACCACCTGATGGTGAGTTGGATACGCTGGAAGAGGGGGAAGCGGGACATACTCAATAGACCCAAGCAAGTAGTGATGGCATGCGGGAGACGTCTGGCGAGGCCCTCAAGCAGGGACATATTCAAGTACCACCTCCGGAAGAGCTTCTCTCTGATTCTGGTTAAGGCTGATGGTGTCTGAGTGGATGATGCTGTTTGACTCTATTGTCAATAAAGCCACCCATAACTGAACCCAGTGTTGGACACCAACAGTAAATGATGCTGCCAAGCTGAAGATGTGTCCCGTTGAGCCTGGTTGGCTTTGAGGAATTCCTGAGGTAGGAAGCAGATATTGTGAGGCCATTGGAAAGGCTTTGACCTGTTCTACATTTTGAACAGCTCGTTGTGGTAATACTCCTAAAAAGAGGCTACAGTCATCTATGGTTTGCTTGGCCTTTGATTGCTTGAAAACCTGGGAAGAGGGCAGGTG